CGTGAGTTTTAAACATAAATTTAAATATTTTGTAAATTTATTAAAACAAATATGGTTTTTTGTTTGTAGAGGTGTTATTGAAGCTACTATGAAAAAGCCATAGCTGAATTAATTGCCGATAAAGAGCAATTAACACAACACTATGAAAAACAATTGGCTGAAGTTAAGGCCGATCGCGATTCAAATTATCATCATTTAACATCACTGGAAACAACATTTTCCGATTTGCATGTGTAAGTATTAATATAATTTTCTTGAACTTTAATTGAAAGATTTTTAAATTTTTGTTATGTTTTTTTATTTGATTATAGAAAATATGAAAAGAGCAAAGAAATGACCTGCCAATTAAAAGAAAGCGAAGAAGCTTTACAAGCTGAAAAACGCAAGAATTTAGAAAACCTACATTTACAGGAACAACGATATGACAAAATGAAAAATCATGCAATGCAACAATTGGAAATGTAAGTGAATAGTTTGATTTCATTAAAACAGTTTAAGAGTTTCTAGTCTATAGTCTAGACTAGACTATAGTCTATTGACTAAAACTTTAGACTAGACTTTATACTAGACTATAGACTTGACTATAGACTAGACTTTAGACTAGACTATTGACTAGACTATAGAATAGACTATAGACTAGACTATAGTCTAGACTAGACTATAGACTAGACTATAGTCTAGACTAGACTATAGACTAGACTATAGACTAGACTATAGACTAGATCGTAGACTAGATCATAGACTAGACTATAGACTAGACTATAGACAGACTATTGATAGACTATAGAATAGACTATAGACTAGACTATAGACTAGACTATAGATTAGACTATAGACTACACTTAAGACTAGACTTTAGACTAGACTATAGACTAGACTATTGGCTAGACTTTAGACTAGACTATTGACTATAGACTAGACTATAGACTAGACTATTGACTAGACTATTGACTATAGACTAGACTTTAGACTAGACTATAGACTTGACTATAGATTAGATCATAGACTAGATACACTAGATTATAGACTAGACTTTAGACTAGACTTTAGACTAGACTTTAGACTAGACTTTAGACTAGACTTTAGACTAGACTTTAGACTAGACTTTAGACTAGACTTTACACTAGACTTTAGACTAGACTAGACTTAAGACTGGACTATTGACTAAACTTTAGACTAGTCTATAGTCTAGTCTATAGTCTAGTCTATAGTCTAGTCTATAGTCTAGTCTATAGTCTAGTCTATAGTCTAGTCTATAGTCTAGTCTATAGTCTAGTCTATAGTCTAGTCTATAGTCTAGTCTATAGTCTAGTCTATAGTCTAGTCTATAGTCTAGTCTAGTCTAGTCTATAGTCTAGTCTATAGTCTAGTCTATAGTCTAGTCTATAGTCTAGTCTATAGTCTAGTCTATAGTCTAGTCTATAGTCTAGTCTATAGTCTAGTCTATAGTCTAGTCTATAGTCTAGTCTAGTCTAGTCTATAGTCTAGTCTATAGTCTAGTCTATAGTCTAGTCTATAGTCTAGTCTATAGTCTATTCTATAGTCTAGTCAATAGTCTAGTCTATAGTCTAGTCTATAGTCTAGTCTATGATCTAGTCTACGATCTAGTCTATAGTCTAGTCTATAGTCTATTCTATAGTCTAGTCAATAGTCTAGTCTAAAGTCTAGTCTATAGTCAAGTCTATAATCTAGTCTAAAGTCTAGTCTAGACTATAGTCTAGTCTATAGTCTATTCTATAGTCTAGTCAATAGTCTAGTCTAAAGTCTAGTCTATAGTCAAGTCTATAATCTAGTCTAAAGTCTAGTCTAAAGTTTAGTCAATAGTCTAGTCTATAGCCTAGTCTATAGTCTAGTCTATAATCTAGTCTATGATCTAGTCTATGATCTAATCTATAGTCAAGTCTATAGTCTAGTCTAAAGTCTAGTCTATAGTCAATAGTCTAGTCAACAGTCTAGTCTATAGTCAATAGTCTAAAGTCTAGTCTATAGTCTAGTCTAAAGTCTAGTCAATAGTCTAGTCTATAGTCTAGTCTAAAGTCTAGTCTTAAGTCTAGTCTAAAGTCTAGTCTTAAGTCTAGTCTATAGTTAGTCTATAGTCTAGTCTATAGTCTAATCTATAGTCTAGTCTATAGTCTAGTCTATAGTCTAGTCTATAGTCTAGTCTATAATCTAGTCTATAGTCTAGTCTATAGTCTAGTCTATAGTCTAGTCTATAGTCTAGTCTATAGTCTAGTCTATAGTCTAGTCTATAGTCTAGTCTATAGTCTAGTCTATAGTCTAGTCTATAGTCTAGTCTATAGTCTAGTCTATAGTCTAGTCTATAGTCTAGTCTATAGTCTAGTCTATAGTCTAGTCTATAGTCTAGTTTATAGTCTAGTTATAGTCTAGTCTATAGTCTAGTCTATAGTCTAGTCTATTGTCTAGTCTATAGTCTAGTTTATAGTCTAGTCTATAGTCTAGTCTATAGTCTAGTCTATTGTCTAGTCTATAGTCTAGTCTATGGTCTAGTCTATAGTCTAGTCTATAGTCTAGTCTATAGTCTAGTCTACAGTCTAATCTATAGTCTAGTCTAAAGTTTAGTCAATAGTCCAGTCTACAGTCTAGTCTATAGTCTAGTCTAAAGTCTAGTCTAAAGTCTAGTCTAAAGTCTAGTCTAAAGTCTAGTCTAAAGTCTAGTCTAAAGTCTAGTCTAAAGTCTAGTCTAAAGTCTAGTCTAAGTCTAGTCTAAAGTCTAGTCTAAAGTCTAGTCTAAAGTCTAGTCTAAAGGTCTAGTCAAAGTCTAGTCTAAAGTCTAGTCTAAAGTCTAGTCCTAAAGTCTAGTCTATAGTCTAGTCTAAAGTCTAGTCTATAGTCTAGCCTATAGTCTAGTCTATAGTCTAGTCTAGTCTATAGTCTAGTCTAGTCTAGTCTATAGTCTAGTCTAGTCTATAGTCTAGTCTATAGTCTAGTCTAGTCTATAGTTTAGTCTATAGTTTAGTCTAGTTTAGGTCTATAGTTATAGTCTATAGTTTAGTCTATAGTCTAGTCTATAGTCTAGTCTATAGTCTGTCTATAGTATATAGTCTAGTCTATATTCTAGTCTATAGTCTGATCCACAGTCTAGTGTAAAGTATAATAATTTCTATAAAATGACTAAATGTACAACAAAATTACATCATTCTTATTGTCATTTCCAATAATTTCTTCAATTTGTTATCCCTCTTCCACAGCGCCAACAAAAACTGGAATCTCTAACACGAGATCATTCAATAGAAATAACAAAACTGAAAGCCTTACTTAAAAAAGAAGAAATCGCCCGATCATCCATACATGAGCAATTGGCTCAGAAGACTAAAGAAAACGCTGAACTCGTTAAGATATGTGATGAACTCATCTCGGGGCAAGGAAGTTAAAGAGAAGGATCCATTTTTGTTTGATTCCTGCCTTTTTCTTATGAAACCCAATACAAAATTGAATGATATTTTTTCTTTTATTTTTATTTCTTTTTCTTATTTTTTTTAAATACTAATTATTTATTTAATGTTTTCTAATTGTATTTTAGTTACCTAAATAAGAATGATTAAAACAAAAGAAATAATTGAAAGAAAAGAAAAAACCTGCAAAAACACACACTCAATAAAAAAGCGCACACACAAAAAAAGAAAATCCTTAAAAAAAACAAACGAAAGAAAACAACCAAAAATTCCTCAAATAATTAATTAATTTTATATTAATTAATTAATTTGTTTTGTTTTTTGTTGTTTGTTGTTTTAGAAGAACAACTGGTTGTGTTTCTTTTAAAAAAGGCGCTTTAATTTAATGTTTGTTTTTATTTGTTCAGAGAGAAGATTTAAACAAAATTTATTAAAACTCAACTCATTAAATATAATGTTATTTTAAGTAACAAATAATAATAATAATAATTAATAATATTAATAAAAGAAAACAAATACAAAAAAGAATAAAAACAACAAGTAATACTTTATTCATTTAAACTAAGCAAAAAGGTACTTTTACACGTACATTTAAAATCCCATTAAAATACTCTTAAGAGAGTGAGTGAAGTTAAAAGCAAAGAAAGAAAGAATGCAAGAAAGTTATGTAGAATGCTAAATCGTTAACAGTCACATACATACACAAGTTAATTTTATTTTTTTTTTTTATATATATAAATAAAAAAAATAATTATAATTTTCAATTCTTTTTATTGTATTATTTGCTGCTAAAATTATTTTAGTTTTCTTTTTTACTTCCTGTTTTTATTTAGACTGTTGAGTTTGTTTACACAAAGAAACTGTTAATTTTTATTATAAAAATATTTTGTTTTTTTAACATAGAGCTAAAACAAAAACAACTTTTATCAAAAGCTGTTTTCTATTCCCTAATAAATAATTTATTTTCCTTCTTTTTTCATACCTTTTTTTAGTTTAACATTTATTTTAACATCTGTTTTTGTAAACGCTGTATTTTATTTAAGTTTAAAATTATTAAAACAAACAAATATAATTAATACTAAAAAAACAAATTGATTAATAAAACAATTTATAATAAAACAACAAATATGAATGTAATGAAGAAACCTATATTTTTATTTTATTAAAAAAATTGTTTATTTCGCACTTAAATTTGTTTTAAAACTCAGAATATTTAAATTCGTTAATGGAAAATGTAAGAATGAATGTGTCTAATAAATATTAACAGTTTTTGTAAAGGAAAATGCCGCTGAAGCTTACCGATTGCTCACAGAATCGTATCGGTTTCAATATTCGAGAATTGGTTTTTAAAATTTTAGAAGTGACGTTTTTTGTATGGAATACAAGCTCGCCAAAGCAGCCCAAAAATGTTTTGAAAATCAAGAATTTTAGGAATTACTGAGGATTGTTGTCATAATAAGCCAAAGCTTACAAAACTATTGGGAGCTACTCAAGCAACAATTTTAAAGTGTTTGCAAGCTACAGGAATCATTTGTTCCTAATAATGTTTGAACGCTATGAAAAGAAAATCATTAATCCAGTACGATAACATTGGTAATCATATCTAATGGCCAGCCGAATCAACACCAAGGCGAAATATATACCAATAGCGCTAAAGTAAGGCTCTGTATTTGGTGGAACGCAAAATGTCTTGTATATTATGAGCTGCCGAAATCTGACTATTATAGGGAACCTGTATCAAATGCAACAGATTCGTTTTAAAGCGATCATTGTCCGAATAACGTCGATAATATACGGCCGGTCAAAGCATATTCTGTATACATAAATATTTACTTCAGACTACGCTGCGTTGAACGTCTTCAAAAGGGACTATTCGTTTTGCAATTCTAGTTCTAATAATATTCTTGCTGTGTTCCAATTCAGTTCAAAATTTTCTAGTTCAGTTCCACATCAGTTGTAGTTTAGTTATACTTCGGATCTAGATCAGTTTTAGTTAAGTTTTAGTTTACTTCTTCTTCAGTTCTTGCTCGGTTCTAGTTTAGTTCTAGCTCA